GTGACGTCTGTAGTATATATATATATATATATATATATATATATAATATATATATATATATATATATATATATATATATATATATATATATATATATTACATAACATGTACAGTATCATATTATATTAAATTATATATTATAGTACATTACATTGTATTGTTATTTGTAATTAGTGCATTAAAGTATTATATTATATAATGTATTTTAGATATCTAAATATATCTTATACTAATTCATTTTGTAATATAATAAGAAACTATACTAACATAAAATATAATAAGAAAATATACTAATATGATTGTATTTATATATATTTCGATATATTCAAAAAATAAGAAAATATACTAATACAATAGTATTTATATATATTTCAATCCATCAGGTGTAAAAGCCACTGATGGGGCTTTTTTGCATCTAAAATCATGAGAAGATTCAAGAATCAGCAATGATTTTTTAAAAGTGTTTGACATATTTTATATCAAAATACTTAAGTAGAATTCCTGAATGAATAATAAAAATTGCTATGATTAACCAACTCAAAACCTTCCACTTTCTGTTTCACCAGATATTCCCCAATGAAAGCTCACATCCATTCCCTGACATCATCAATGAAGCCCAAACGCTCACGGAAAGCAGTAATTGTGCCAATTTTCAGGCCCTTCTCTCTATGTTGTAGATTCACCAACTGGATTTGAAAGAACCATTATTCCTTTCCTACAAATAAGTTGATTTTTAGAGAGAATTAGAAGTGATAAAAATAAGAGAGAGGGAAGAGGTAGAAAGAAAAGAGAGGTGGTTCACATGGCCCGCTCTCTTCCTGGTTTTTAGTCATTACTCAAACTCTCTCCCAACCAAGTTTTCACTTGGCCTCACGAGGAGGATGCAAAGAACTCCCCAATTGTTCAACACCAAAGAGACGAAAAGCTGAGAGATGGAACCCCTAATTTTAAGACATTACGCCAAAGGGGATTTCATGGGATATTTATAAAAAAAACAATGGTAAATTCTATTATTTGGACAAAGACACGGTTTCTATGAATCCATGTAGAAATGAGTCACCTCGTAAAAATCTATTTTTGAGATGGATTGTTGGACTTAATTTTTAAGGACATGTAATCTCTAACATGGAAATCATGAATATGAAAAAATAAATAAGAAATAATAATTGTATTAAGAAAACATTTGAACTGTTAGTTTCAATTATTTTTAGATGGACCACATATTTGCATCCATCTTTAAGATGGTTGCTTTATACCCTGAAACAATTTTCCTTTGGATAATGGAAAAAGTAAGAAGGGGATTAAGCGTCATTTTTCGTTAGACTTACGGGATTCCATAGGATATTTATAAGACAGGGGGGTTTAGAGAGGGGGGGTTTATCTCTTTCACCTATAAAAGACGGGGCTTTATGTCTTTTTCCTCGATATATATATATATATATATCATAACCTTTCTCAATTAATTAGAGTCCGCTACACGAATCCCGATCCACCATTCTTCTCTATTTACGGCCATACCCTCAGTGAAGACATAAGTCCCTATATCTTTTTGGATTATTTCCAACCACATCCTTTTGGACCTACCCTTTGCCCTTTTCGATCCTTCCACGTGAACTAACTCGCAACTCCTAACAAGTGTTGTACTGGGTTGACGCTACACATAGCCAACCCACCTAAGTTTACTCTATCTCATCTTATCGCCTATTGGTGCCACACCTAAACTTTCCCGAATGGATTCATTTAAGATTATATCCCTTTTTGTCTTACTACTCATCCATCTCAACATCCTCATCTCCGCCTAACATTCTGCCCCATAAAGAAAAGCTAGTCTCACAGCTGTCCTATAAAACTTACCCTTTAGCTTCATTGGTTTGCGGCGATCACATAAAATTCCAGTTGCACATCTCCAGATTTGCAACTGGAATTTATGTATATATATATATATATATATATAGAGAGAGAGAGAGAGAGAGAGAGACTTTAGGATACCTCTAAGATTCTTCATAACTTCAAAGAGATGAAATGTGCATGCCAACATAATTCTAATCTATAATAAATAATATACCTAACAAGTCACAATGCCAAACCCATATTTTGGTCTAAGGTAATATAGATCATGATGGAAGAATAAACCTCCTTGAGCATTCTTCTCCCAACTTGAAATCCCGAAAATGCAGCCATGATATCTTGCGGACGAAATCCAAAAGATATCCAAGCATGAATTCATAGGGTAACCATCCAGTCCTAGAGATTTTCCCAAGGCTAAAGATGATTTATCACATCTCACAAGACATTTACATTTGTGGAGACTGAGGAGGAAAGCAAAACAAAACATGCTAGAACATCAAAATATGTGGCTGCCAAAAGCATGAGGCAGAGAAAGCATATTCACATAAAACAAATTTTTAACAACACATAGTACAGAGGTAATAGGGAAACTATCAATAAAGCACCTGATGCTCACAAGTAACTGCATATGACATCACATCGCTTTATATGTAAAGGTATTATTACAGGCTTGTATCATCATTAACCATAGAAATACTAATTAGAGATTTGTAATTTGTAATCAGACCGACATAACCTTCCCAATATGATACAAAACATACAAAAGCATGATAAGATATAGAGAAGCATATTACATACAGGAGCATGACAAGATTGAGAGAAGCATATACTTTTTATAGGTGCTAGTTCTGCAAGTGGGCATTGTCTTTGAAGATGAAAAGGCAACATCCTAACATTAAAATTTGAATAACTATTGATTTGAAGTATCAACTTGTGTTTCACCAGTAAAACAGTAGCATCGAAAACAGCAAAAATATCACCCAGAGAATGAAAGGATATTCCAAACTAGGAAAGATCATGAACTATCTAAAGCCACACTAACGTCAGCGGCAAGCCAGCATTCATCATTTGGAGCATTCAACCATAAATGCACAGCAATGTCACAGGCCGCCATCCACATTAACTTCATAAGTTCATAAACATTGAAGCTACATTGTGCCATGAAGGTACTCTCAGTATTCTAATATTATCTCATGAGTAAAGATACCAAGGGATCACTACTAACCGTGAAAGATAAATACGCAAAACTCTTAACTTCAATTCACGATCAGTTTCGGTGTCATTATCTTTGAACTCCATCTCAGCCAAAGGCTGCTCTGCATCATTATCATACTCAGGATCAAACTCTTGCCTCTTGGGGTTATAGCCACTCAGTTCAGTCATAGATGGCCCCTTATCTCCTATGACTTTCGGTTTCTTCCCTCCAAGGCTTCTGTCCATATGAGAATCTGCCAATTTCAATTAATTTAGATGGAATGCAAGTCTAAATTTAGAATGTAAAATCAACTGCCACACTGTAGACAACTGAAATGGGGTCTGTTATTTGATTCTAAATGGAAGTTAACTATAAAAAAATAATAATAATAAGAGGAAAATACCCATAGAGAATCTAAACAGCAAGTTTAATTATTGCCTCCATTTTAGATATTGCTAAACAATATAACTCTCTATAACAAAACTAATACGCCTTAAAACTACTAATTATCAGAGAAAAATTGAGCCTTCAGTTTAGCATGTGAGATAGCAGTAAAGGACTAAGTAGAAGTCAAGTACAATATGTCAAAGAAAATTGTAACCAAAAGCTCTATATAAAGCAGACTCCCATGATGAACCTTTTAATCTTTAAAAAAACATTATGGCCAATCCTGATTTAGATATCCCTTCTTTTGCTAGCAGATTAGCTTCTTGATGTAGCAAGATAGAGCTTTAACTCTTAAACTTCTACGGAAACAGTTAAAAACAATACTATAAAAACCAGAAAGTCATCAAAAAGGTAAAGCGTCCAGTCTCATCAATATCAGTCAATAGAAGAAAAATAAGGAAAAGATTTTAATCATTTGAAATGTGTATAGACAAGAAAATATGAAGAATATGGATAGGACTTAAAAACATAAATCATCAAACTAAGCCGTGTTTTAAATCACTTGCACGCTATAGCACAATATTATACATTATAAATTTAAAGAATAAATTACATCACCCAATATTTATTAAAACATAGATATCCAGTGAATTTTATGTACTTGAAAGCCCTGGTCAAATTGGAGAATGAGATACCAGTAAAAAGCAGCTCAATAGTTGTGCAAATTATGTAAATTACATGAGTAACTTTTAATAAGGAATATCGTGTGTTTCTCAATAAATTCTAGGCGTCAGTATCCTTCACCCCAAGAACTAGAGAGAATCTGATAGCCAGCCCGATACTAAGAACTTATGCATAACAGCTAGACCCACAGCACTTCATATGACTTATCCAGTTTTAACAGAAGGAATACTATTTTGTAGTCTTACCCAAAAAAATGTAAATGCAAAAAGAAACATTTATCACAAAATATTCAAACAAATATATCAAGTGACCCCATCTTGAGTGTAAGAAGCAAGCAGAAATAAAACTTCTGTTCCATACAACTTCTGCATCAATGAAGAGGGAAAACCCAAAGATAGAAAAAGAATCACTTAGAAAACCTAAATCAAAGAAAGTAATAACGACTAGTAAGTAGAAACATATTTGATTCCTGGAATACCTTCAACCGATGCCAAATTTTCAATCTTGATTCCATCAGAACCATCCTTGAGCTGTAACATGTTTGATGCCTTCTTACCTGCACCTGCTGATGCGCCAATCACACTGTTACGACCAACACCATTTATCTTGGATTCTGAGAATTCTCCATCTGATGCAACAGACATTCAAATAGCAGCAGGTTTCCCGTCAAGTATAATCAACCAATAATCTTATATAAACGTGAATACACAGTCCTTTTTTTTGTAACACAAATCATGACTACGCACTTAACGTTACGAAGAATCATATTTCACAAACTGCCAAAAAGAATCTTATTTCGAACCTGCAGTTAGATTAGATGGCGATCTCCCAGTTGGAGCTTCCTCAACCCTTCTCAAACAAATTTAAAATTGAATTAGAATAAAAAGTTCATTCCCTGTCAGCCATGGAGAATGAATGTTAATATATTAAAGGATAAAACAAACAAATGCTCATCATACTTTAACCTCGTAGGAGAGAAAGGAGATTCTTCTTTTGGCAAGATTTCCCCAGGCGCAGAAAAACCTGCATCAATAAATAAGTGTAATGCAATTTGGACTAGCTCTTTCGCTTAAGTATGGATTACTATCATAAATAAATAATTATGAAACAGAGGATCAGATCATCAGAATATGGATGCCACAATAGGCCGAGCTAGCCTTAAATTGGATCTAATTCTTATTTATCTGTTGCTAGTTAACCATATCGAATAACAGTGGAATATTATATCCTTAATAAGCTTAGAATCTTTTTGTTTTTCTTTTTTAAATAAATGTCCTTTTTTTTTTAATGATAACTTGGGACCTCGTGGGAATGGAATTCTAGATGTCACGTTATGGCACCTACACTGCAACCAACTCTGCCTAGAGCCCGTTCACAAACTGGGTACTAAAATTGCAGGAGGAACTCTAACCATTTGACGTAGAAATAGGAAGAAACCAAGTATGAACTGTGAAAGATAAACCATGACAAACCTTTCTTCCCTTCAGTTTGTACTTTGGCCATAGCAAGAAGCTCCTTCCTGTTCTTTCCATTCACACGTGACATGTCCTGGAAATACCAAACAGTAGTCACACACAGAGGCCCCAGGTTCTAGGAAATGCAATCTGCAATCAAGCATTAACAGGAAGGGAAGAAGAAGCACAGTACCGGAAGAGGATAGCATGGAGAATTTATGTATGCTATTGTATGGTGATCAATGCATTGTGCTTTGCTCTTAGTACCTACATGCTCTGCAACTTCAGCCCAGTTTCCCAGTCCGTACATTTCAATTCCCTAGCATCCCAGAGTCAGTAAGATAACCCTCAGGCAAAATATTTATCTAGACAGCACACAGAAAATATTGTCCATATGACAATGTAAATAATATGACATTTAATCAAGATATGTAGTATAAGATTTCTGACCAACCTCTAAGAGCAATATCTCTTCATCGGCATTCCAATCTGAACAAATAAGGGGAAAGGACAAATTATCCTGTGCAAGAAAAATATTATGAGCATTGTGATGAAGCAAGGGAGTATTAAAGGGTTCCACCACTAATAACTTTAAATTGCAAGACACTAGAGTTAAAAAAAAAATCAAAATGCAGGAAAGTATTGCTAAGTAATAACAGTAAGAGAATAATCAAACACCAGAAAGTTGATCCTAGAAGTATTTGCAAGAAAAATATTATGAGCATTGTGATGAAGCAAGGGAGTATTCAAGGGCTCCACCACTATTAACTTTAAATTGCAAGACACTACAGTTAAAAAAAATTCAAAATGCAGGAAAGTGTTGGTAAGTAATAACAGTAAGAGAATAATCAAACATAAGAAAGTTGATTCTCGAAGAATTTAAAATGTTAATTAAAACAAATGTTCAGAGCCTTCAACGAAAAAGGGAACTACATTATCAGAAGAAAGACATTAAGAGAACAATGGCTGCAGCAATACAGAAGTACTGATATCGCACTGAAGGAAACAAATAAAGAGAAGACGACGACTAATTTCACCAATTTGATCATTATTGATAAACTCACCAAATTGATTATCATAGAAAACAAGATCAAGTTCACACCCACAGTAACTTCAGCTAATAAATGTCTACAACCAAGAACGATGCACAAGATACTTAGAGATTCTTAAAATTTATTACACTTATGTAAGAGTTATTGTTGCCCTAGTATCATTCTCCACTTGCTGTGATCAACCATGTCATCCTGTAAAATTGTATATCTGAACTCACATTTGCCTTTCTTCCGTCAACAACTAGATAGTAACAAGAAAATATTTTTAGGGTAATGACTTCAGGTAAGGGCACCTGCTGCACTATAATTGTGTGCCCAAGAATATTTCACTTAGGATATTTGAATTTCCAAGCCACATACAGGCACACTCAACCTTAATTAGTACCTCAAATGTAAACATTGCTTGATAAGATAAATCATGAATCAGTAAGGCTGGGTTTAGGAAGCCCTTTTATTGCATTAATATGCAATACAACTGAAGGTTTCATGGCAGTGAACAAGAAGGTTTGGCAAGTGTTCCCAAACAAAAAATATAATGGAGCAGCCATTCAAAATGCTGCTCCACTTCCCATGAATGTAATAGAGATGGAAAGAACCATGGGCTCTCATCTATATAGTAATGTGTTCAAAAGAATGCAGCACCCATCACATAAAGTTTCTTAAGGTGGGTGCCAACAAACAAAGCCTAAGCATATCCTTTTAAGGCTACATTATCCAAAAATGAAGTAAAATGATTGAAATGCCCACGAGTATAATCTTCTCATCCTTTAGAAGAAAACATGACACATTCTTTTCTGGCACAAGATAAAACTCAAATATATTTCAAAAATAAATCTTACATGATAAATTGTGTACCGATAGAGAGTTTATTAATTCAACCAAATCAATCAAATGCATGTGATCCTAATTCCACAAGTGGATCCTAGGGTATAAACTCAGCTGATGCATCCTTATTTGATCCTGGGTAGGTTCTCATTTCCTCCACGAAATTTTCCATAACCAAGTTAACAAATCTATATTGCCAACATGCCTCAGGCCACTCAATTTCCTTACAATGGCTCTTACATTATTGGTGATTTTACATATGACAATTGGGTGATCCATCAAACAGTCCTTTCAAGAAACTAACCACTCCCTCCAATATCCATATTGCTTTTAATAGATACTCCTAACACCAAAGGAGCAATGAATAATACAGAGCATAGATCTTCTGAGTAACCACGGATATGTGGACAATGATTATCACCATGAGCTAATAAAACAAGATATAAATCATTTGCTAAACAAGGAAAAGCAAAGGTAGATCTAGAATACCAACCATAACCCTGTAGGGGTGATTGCTTTTGTGAGGTGTAACTTCAGCTCCAACTGAAAAGCATTCAACACAAAGGTCAAAATCAGGACATTTAGTGCATTTGATGCGTATCTTTCCAGAGATATCCTTATTGCAATAGTTGCAATGGTATAGAGCTCTTTTCCCTTCAGTTGTCCCTACACAGGCCCCAACAAGGAAATGCAATTACTCTCTAGGAGACAACAAAAAGAACATCCTGAAGAGAGAGAGGACCTACTATCCATGTGACACTTAATAGTATCTAGTGGCAAAATAGAGAAGATAAAACAGCATAACTATGAAGCCATGCAGGATATATATTCATCATTCAAAGCACTAAGGCACAGAAAAAAATTCATTGTCAAGAGGCTAGCGAAAGAAGTATTGTTTTCAACAAAATGAAGAAAGAGTATGCCAGCTGATGAAAATCAAATACCATCATCTACCAATCAAACAAAAATCAAGTACTGTAATTTATAAAGAATGTCAAAGCATGAAACTGATGCAAGCCTAATAAAGTAGAAATTCAGCTCATACCTCACACTTTGACCAAAATAATCTAATCTATAACACCAAAGACAAAAATCAAAATCCTAAGAAAGTTGGGCTCTCACTGAAAACTAGTAGTCTGTTATCTTATCCCGATGTTTGGATCAATTCTAATCATGCAACAGAATGTTTGCTAATTTGCTTTCAGTCTAGTAGATGTCAACCCAAAACAAATACACATGAAAAGGGTATAAATGAAATAAAAACCAAGAAAAAAGTGTGAAAGGAAAATTATGGAAGTGAAATAGGAAGGAAGAATCATTATCAGATAAGCTATACAATATCTCAGAACTCCTGTGCATACGACCTCAATAAAAATATGTAACCGATTTCCTTATATCATGAGTGTGAATGTGGTCCTTTTGAAGAGTCACATTTTTTATCTTACTAGCAGTTCACAGAGTCACATTAGTTAATCCTTCACATCAATGTGACCTAATTTTTAAGTGAGAGAAAGAAAGGCAGCATAGATATTAAGCATATGAATTCATCAAAATTGACTCTAACAAGTCTGTGAAAATTCCTAAGAACAATGTAAAATGGGATATTAAGCTATTAAGAGAAATATCGACTTCAGGCAGAACATATTTAATTATAAAAATGAAAAAGAATATCTTTTCCATTGACAGCATATGCATTGTCATTCTGACTCACGCCAAAAACAACAGGGGGAGTTCAGAGGTAAATCTCGGCAACACTTTGATTTGATTCATCAGACTGCAACTGGATCTTTATACATCCGGCATCAAAAACATATGCAGCTATATACGAGACAGGTTTTGAAGGACATCTGAGATTAACAGACTATCCAATAATCTATGACATTTCAAAACAAATTTCAATTGAATCACAAACTTGGAGATACATTTGTTTTGAATATCTTATAAACTATCAATGTCTGAGCTGCTATTATGTGAATAGTGGATTTTCTATGTCATCATCTCAGGGGCTTTTCGGATGGACTAAATTCGAGGAATAGAACCATCTTTCCTTCCGCCCGTTTGGGAGTTAAAAATGGCACAGCTTGGTCCGCCCCACTATCCGTGGATGATCGATTTTCTTGACCCGTTTATTAATAAAATGCCACCTAAACACCCACATCTCTTAAAAAAAAAAAATAGAAACTGTTATTCGCTTTCCTAAATAAGGGGTTCCCTATTGGAGTTGTTTTGCCATTCTAACAGAGGCCTACTGAATTGGATTTATCGTACTTATGCCATAAGCCCATAACTAAGACAGACCAGAAAGAAAGCAATGTCATCCATATCAAACCTGTGGGTCCAGCCTCTATATTCTCCCCACTTGAAGCAACCCTTCGTCTCTTTGATCTACAAACTCAAAGAAATAAAACATTTATTACATAAACATGAAAGACAAAAGACACACAAGCAAGCCACAGATTTAAAGATATCTGTATTTCTTACATAGTAGGAAAACTAGAAGTCACCAAGCAACAGGAGCCAAATAGAATATGGGCCAATAATAGAACCAAAAGAAATACAAGGAAATAATAGAGCATTTACGGGCAGGCATTAGATTTTTAAAGGGCAACATGAACATGATTGGCAAGGGGAACATAAAACATGTAGCAAATGCACAAGAAAAACAGTTGCCCAAGTTGCAGAAGATAGCGAACCTCTAAAAATCTTGATGATTCAAAATTTCAAATAGGAAATATACAGAAAACCTATGTCTTGAAAGTTGCATACAAATAGATGGTTTTTTCCTATTTTCCTTTTTCCAAGGTAAAACTTCTGATTAATTGGTTCCTGGAACACCTCTGATTTTTATGCACAAAGAATCCCAAGGTACTAGTAAGTAATGCTCGACTTTACAAAATAGTCAGCTCGTAACACCTCCTCTACCCTATATTCCAGGAATCCAGTAACTGAGATGACAGTCATGAAAAAAGTTGATCTTCAACACAAAGGCAGCCCAAAACATACCAGATTCATCCTAAGATGCGCAGCTTGGAAAGTATTTAAAGTACCACACACAGACACACACACACACACACAACAAACAAAAGAGAAACAAGAAGAAAAAGAAGTTTGGGCTAGATCAGCTTGTTTGAGTTTTCGGACAAACATGTTTGGTTTTTCTGAGAACAAGCTTCCAGGGTTCACAACCTTGACCTCTTTCACCAAAACAGGGATGTCCCACTAAACCGAAAGACTACGGGACAGCTTGGATAGAATTCAAATTGTACAAACCCAAAGATCTCATTTTCTCTAGAAAAAGAAATCAAGGGCTTTCTCTGTTTTGACGAGTCAAAAATAAAAGTACCGTCTAAATCCACATGATGTGCGACTGCCATAAAACCAGTCAATATTTTAGAAGTCACTCAATAGGTAGGAAACCACTTTGACATTAGACTTCAAAGATGGTTCAGACATCAGAGTTTAATAACTGAAACCAAGGAACCAAGAAGACTTTGTTGGGATCTCAATGAGAAATTATAGTTTTTTATTTAATGAAAAAAAACTATAGAAAATGAATTTCTTGTTTTGTTGACAATGAATTCCAATCCATTTATTCTTCAAGGCAGTTTGGATGCTCTAGGAAGAGCGAAATCGGCGTATATTTCAAGGAAAGGAATGTAGGGATGAACAAATGGTAAGAAGGATTACTTGCCATGTTAGTGAGCTTGCAAATACCAAAGAGTGGTAATACCACATCTCAGAGAAGGCAATAACAGAAAATTTAAAAGTAGTATGTCGACAACAGAGGATCAAGTCCTTCATTCCAAAGGCATGGACGTTTCCAGAACCTAAGCATTTCAAGTTGAACATTGACAGATCTTCATTACAGAATTCAAGAATAGTGGGTTGTGGGGGAATCATCAGAAAAGATGATGGGTCTCTCTTTGTTGCTTTCACCACTCCTCTTGGTGTGGCATCAAATAATTATGCAGAATTGCGTGCCTTGGAAGCGAGAGTTGATTTGGCTACCTAAATGGATGGTTTTCCTCTACAGATCGAAAGTGATTCCTCATTACCTGTACAGGTCATACGAGGCCGTTGCAATCTCCATGGGTGGTTCATACAATAGCTGCTAATTGCCACTATAGACTCGCAAACTGTTCATGGTCAATTTGTCATATTTTTCGTGAGACCAATATGGTGGCTGATATACTACTAGCCAAAAAAGCTACAATTTTTTCAGATGCAATCATTTGGCACTCTAGGCCTCTTGATTTTCTTTCTCTTTCTTTACTTTATGATGTTGTACAACTTCCCTATTGTATGGTTATAAAATAGTGAGCTGTATTTCCTCATATTTTATTAATGAAAACGAGTAGGGGGCCTTCTCCCCCACTGTTACCCAAAAAAAAAAAATTTCCAATCCATTTATGCTATGGACATCAATCTCAATCGTTAAAAAGTATTGTGCTCACAAACAAACTACTCCTCTGAAAAGACATGCAACACTACCAAGAGGAACCAGCCTACTGCTTTTCTCATAGCCAAAACCAGGTTATAGCAATACATAATCACATCTGGCCAAAAAAACAAAAGAAATACATAACCATCAAGAATGCCAGACCACCAAACCATCCAATAACTGCTTCACTGTAAAATACAGCTTAGCTGAATTTTCACAATTAATCTGCATAATGGAGCTTTTTGTAGTAAATATGCATTAAAGACCATATCTAAAACTTCAACCACTTCTCTCTCCATCACTGCTTCTTTTCCCTTCTTCTCTTACACAAAATTTTCTACTACATCTTTTTGCGCTTTGTTTTCCACTTCAAAACCCTAACAGAAATACAAAGTCCATCCCCGGATTCCATTGTCATTACGAGATCCCGAAGAAAAAGATAAATGCCCAACCTTGCCCCCCTTTCTACCGCCAGTTCATTAATCCTGCTTGTTCCCTACCCACCTCTATTTCCTCCAAGTTTACCCCACATGTTTCTAATTCTAAAAAATCTTTTGTAGACATTGTGGTAACTAATCTCACCCAACCTACATCCTCTTCTCTAGCCATTAACACCCATCTTGCGTCCTCTTCAACAACCAATATCCCTGCTTCTTCAGTAAAGGTCCCCATTTCCCCCCTTCACCCCATTTTTCTTTATCCCATGGGGTGCGTCATATTTGGCTCCCAGGAACCAGTGAGACTCTAGAGCACATTTCCTCCTTAAACAAATCCTTCATAACTTCCTTCCTGCCTCAGATAAACAATATCAGAGAAATCACTAAATGGTTCCAATATGTCTTCAAAAACGACCACATTTTATGCAGGCCTTTGCACTATGGAAACTACCTTATCTCCTTGCTGGAAGGAACCCTCATCCCTTCCGATGTTCACTTTAGTCGTCTCTTTTTCAGAGGGCGACGTCTGGCTCTCAGAAAATGGAATGAGTCCATTGATGTCGAGTGAAAAACCAAGGTATGGTTTCTTGTCCAAGGTATACCAATCCACCTTTGGACCCATTTCATCTTTAAAGCCATTGGGGATTCCTACGGTGGTATCATTTCAATTCACTGGAAATCCTTAGGTTTTCACCCCTTAGGCAGCCTTATCATCCTTGTTGAATCCCTAACCCCAACTCCATTCCCTCCTCTTGTCACCTCAATTTTAATGGTTTTGCATACCATCTCAAAATCTCTATCCAGTGGTCTGCAAACTCTGACCACCATGAAAGGGCCTCTACAGACCACAATGGTTGGACACATGGTGACACATGATGCAGCCATCTCTCTCCATCTCTGAGGGTGCATCTCCCCGCTCATCTCCCCAAGTTGCAGCCACCTTAACCGCCCCCGCGCCGCCTTTTGGGAAACCTCATGTTGACGCTTTAAATGCCACCCCTTCTTGCTTTCCCCAGGTTTTGGTCTCTCCCCCCAAGAACTCACATCTCTTGACACGTCTCCCTTGAACCTACCCCCCCAATCTCTTGTGCTTCGACCTTTTGATGGTGATCCATCTTCTAGGCCTTATCTCACCGCCCCGTCACCTCTCGATGTCATTCCTAATAACTTGCATATGCCATCAAGCGTCGAGGGACAAGCAACTGCCTTTATTGTGACACAACCTCCTGTACCTGTTGCCCCTCAAATCCCTCTGCAGCCATCTGCAAGCAGCAGCACCTCGCTTCTTCCCAAGTCCCCTTCCATTAATTGCTCTCCCACCCCCACATCTCCCCCTTCCTCCTCCTCGAAAGTTGTTACTTCTTGTAACGCCCCCTTCACCCCTTGTCCTGTCCTCGAGACCAGTTATCCTGCGTTTTCCTCTCCCTAACTCTCCTTCCCCTGCCCCTACTATTTCCCAATCCTCCGCCTTGCATTCAACCCTTGATATCATTTCCCCCTATCATCATGATGTACCTCAGTCATCTCCCCTTCTCTATTATTTTGAACTTTTTATCCCATTTTCAATCCCTTATTCCTCCCCCATCCTCTCCCCTAACCTTTATCCCCCTACTCATTCTCAGACTTCCCCCATTCTACCCTTATCAGTTCCTCCCTTCACCACCTTACCATCCCCTCTCATGCCTAGAAGACAAAAACAGCGTCAGGTCTGCCCAAGTAGGTGGCCGAAACCTCAGGGCTCTTCTACGCCCCCTCACCCCATCCCTCTTACCCCCTAGTCCAATCACCTCTCCGCCCTTCCTATGTTCATTTTGTTGGCTTTCCTACCCCTTCTTCCGCCAATTAGTCTTCTCCTCTCCCCCTCTTTGTCTTCTCTGAATCCTCACCTTCCACCCCCATCCCTTCTAATTCATTTGTTGTTCCTCTCCCCAACCCTACTGGTGCGGGTCTTGCCCAATCAGATTTGGACACCTCGGTCCCCCTCCCGCTGGAAATGAGGCTGGCTCTTAACGCCTACCAGTCCTCCCAAGGAAGAATTCCCCCTTTTATTCCCCCTCTAAATTATTTCTTCTCCCATCCCCTGCCCCTCATTCCCAACCGCAAAACTTCCCACCTCAATCTCCCACCCCTTTGCAAATGATTCCTCCTAACCGCTCCTCCAGTGCGACCATATTTCCGTCTTCCTCGATTCTAGTGGATCCCATTCACCATTCCCCCCCATCCACCCCTCCTTCCCATCAACTCATCAAGCTTCCAATGATGGCTTCGATTCACATATTCAATCGCCTCTAGAGTTGAATATCCAAGAGCTTCAGAGAATCGACAGAGGAGAGCCAAACACGGCAAACATGATTCAGACCATGGACCTTCTTTTCAACGACAACATTGCGGATATCATTGATTCCCTTAGGCAAGACACAGGAGCCACGCAAGTAATCGCTTCTCCCAAAAAATTTGAAGGTTTTAAAGACGGGAAAATATCTCCACAAACCCCATTTTTAACTTTC